CTGAACCCCTAAACCCTCAACCCTATCATCTTAAACCCGAAAAATCACAGCATAAAGCCCGGCCCAGGAATGCCGAGCCGTAAGGAGATTAGGGTTTAGGGTTTAGGGGTGTAGGGTTTAGGGGTTTTGGGGTTTTGGGTCTTAAAATCCCTATTTAGGGTTAGGGGTTTAGGAGTATAGGGTCTAAAGAAGCCTATTTTAGGGTTTAGGGGTTTGGGCTTTAAAAATCTTATTCAGGGTTTAGCCCTATTCAGGGTTTAGGGGTTTAGGAGTTTAGGGTTTAAAAAACACTATTTAGGGTTTAGGGGTTTAGGGCTCAAAAAACTCTATTTAGGGTTTAGGGGTTTAGGGCTTAAAAACCCCCATGTCGGGGGTAGGGTTTAGGGGTTTATGGGTAATTAATTTAAAAACCTTAAACCTCCCTCCGCTTTTTTGTAGACAGCCGTCGGGAAGTCAGAGGCACAGGGAAAATCATCCAAGGGGCTTCCTGACCTAATCGAAAAGCCCCCAAAAGTAATCCTTATAGGGATCTGTTCTAAAAATATACGATGTTTTTACTGTGCCCCAAAACAGTATTCTATATATAACGGTCCGTATATTACACTCTGAAGCTTCAATCTTCGAAGGCATACGTAGACCCTGAACTGGAGTAGCTGTCATATTACATATTTCTGTATTCAGCCGGGTCTATGATTCAGCCAAGTCAAGGAACTACGATTAAGTGCGTAGGTGGACCCGACAAATTGAAAACTCAAACTTGAAATCCCGAACTTTCCTGGATAGCAATTTCGTTTGCACCCTTCATCCTTACGAAAGGACCCATCAATAAGGTTGCCTCCTAAAGCCCTAAACCCTAAAACCCTAAACTTGCTGCATACAGATCGAAAGGTCCAGCTCTATCCACAAGACCTCAGCTTTCGCACGTCTGTGCAGCATTGGGAGCTGCCCACAGGGGACACCACTGCCGGCAAGAATCCCTTGTACAGTGTGCTCACAAAGCTGTACACGGAGTCTCTCCGCGCGCAAGGCGACAATTGGCCTTGGGCAGAGGGCAAGGAACAAAACTTGCACGCAAACGGCACCCACGGCTTGCTCAATGAAAGAATGTGCGACATGCAGGGCATGCGTGCTTCACATTTCCCGAGGCGGTGTGCTATCTTTCTCCTTCCTATCCGGAGCGAGGTGTGTGTCACACATCTGCATATGTGAACATTCCCAAGTTCTTGGAGTGTGCAAGAGGTGGTAGCTACAAGTGGGGCACTGCATTCGAGAAGAAGCAGAGACGAGCTGCAGCAGCCGCCAGAGCACAATCGACCCATGCATCAGCTTCTGGCTCGACGAACGAACTCCCTCCCATCAACTTCGAGACTACCAATGTGAATGTATATTGGCTTCAACAAGTAGACGTGCTTCGAGACGGGTGGGTTGTAGCCGAGCAGAAACGTCATTTGGGTTTTGTGGGTCGCATGGTGCTCGGGTTTAGTTTGGATGTTGCCGTGCCTCCAAACTGCCGTCGAAACGGCGCTGAGGTGCTGAAAGCCATGCTGGAGCAGGTTTGGCAGGGAGTGCTGACACGTTGTGGACCTCTTGCCATAGGCAGCTCATCGGCATCTGCCCCTCCGTGCTTGAGCTCGGCATGCGTGCGCACTGTTTCGGGCACGGTTTACCATACCATCGCTCAGCTCCGAGCTGAGCGCAGACGCCTCGGTTATATGGCTTAAGTGGTGCTCTAGTGGGAGTATTGGTCCAGCGCTGTCAGTTTTCTCAACACTGCAATTGAAGCATCGATCGACAACCAAGCCAACATGCGGTGCATTAGTGCAGAAGATGCCAAGTGTGCGTTGCGTTTTCTTGACCAGTTGTTGTTTGGTGCCAATGTCCTCCAAGCGGAAATGAGCGCCAAGTTTGGACACGCACGCGATGGCACCGCTCGTCATGTCCCTTCCTCCACCGGCTTGTCCGGAACCGAAACATCCGTGGCTGAACTTTTCCGCTCCGTGACCGGACCGACGGCAGCGTCTCCCATTCTATCCCTACGGCCGTCGCCAGGGTGAGTCGGAAGTGGACGTCCGAGCACGACGTCGGGCGGTGTGGGAGTACGCTTCGGAGCTCGGCTGGCGACATTCGCTCGTGTTATCGCTCCGAAGCCTTTTTTCGCGCTCCGCGCTCGGGACAGGTGGATCAAACAGTGCAGTGTCTTAGCACTCCCGTGCAGTCTTGGCTCGAAGCAGATGTGCCTGCTTCCCAAAGTACTGCGAGCACCTGCTCCAACCCAAGCGGTTCAGGAGTCCGTGCCAAACATGCTCGGAGGTATGAAAAGACCTGCTGCAACGGCGCCACGGCGGCACCTGCAAAAGGAAAGCCCGTAGCAGCAAAGCCTGCTTTCGGTGACATGGGAGACCGCATCTGGCGCAAGACGTTGTCAGCGAAACACCAAAAGCTCTTTGCACTTCGTGCCCCTGATTTTCCCCAATTGAGCGATGCCATCCGGCTCGTCACAAACTTTTTCAGCACCCAAACTTGGCTTCGCATGGAACCATTCTGATTACTGAGAGGATTGGAAAAGGCAAACGCAAAGCAGCAGACAAAGGCAAGTCCAAATCACTGGCCAAGGGAAATGACACCATGGTTGGTTGCGAGCTCCTCGGTCTTCATGACAAGTCAGCCTCCCACTCGATCTACAGGACGGCCCAGTTGGCTATGCAAGTGGATTCAGAAAATGCAACTCGGAGTTTGAAGACAGGATCCAGAAGAAGCTCGATCAGCTGCACAGGGAACAGCAGTCCTCTTATGCAATGCTCAAGGCAGATTTGGATGGTTTCAAGAAGGAGGTGGCTGATTCCAACTTGATGCAGGAGAAGGTCAATACTGACTGGCTACCGGAATTGCAGGCATTGCTGGGACAATTACAGCTCAGCTAGCCCAGAACACGGCCTCTGTCACTTCAGCCCTTGACAACCACCGCTCGGATATCATGCGAGACCTCTGACGCAGATGACGTTGAAAGATGAGCTTATGGTTGAAGTCCGATCACAGATTGGAACCATGCCAAAGAGGACCCTTCACCGAGCACAGACTCTGCCAGCGAGGCAGAGGGTGGCAAGAAAGCCTAGCAGTGAGATGAGAGCAGAGGCATTTTGCCTCCAAGAACAATTCTGCTGGAGGCCCATCTCTGGGTGGGATGCAATGCCCTCCTGGCTTGGCAACTGCTGGAGGACCAGGGTTGGCAAGATGCAGCCATCTGGCAACAACAGAAGGATGGGAATCCGCCTGCTTCGGGCTTCAAAGAAGAGACCCGAAAAGACTATTGCACATATTGGTGAATGCCAAAGCAGCGTGGCCCTGCTTCATTCAGCACCTCAGAACCAAACGAAACTTGGAAGATGTTGAGACATTCTCTGTTTATCGATCGCGACACCCGACCTTGGTGGACGCTCTTTTGGAAGGCTTTAGTTCGTTTGGGTGGCCCATTTCCGCAAAAGCGACGGTCATATGTTACTGCGGATGAGGACCAAACTTGCAGATACTGTGGGTGTGTTGACACACTTAAGCACATGGTGCATGATTGCCCTGCCATTTTTTCTGTTAGACAGTCAGTGGATTGGAACGTGGTTTCATCACAACCGGACTATGTGCTCCTGGCGGGATTATGACCTCCCTCCAATTCACGGGCCCCCTTTTTGGCTGAATATATTCTTTTGTTCACTGATGGTTTTGCTATCAACAACAAGTCCCCCTTTCTCAGACTTTTGCGCTTGGGCAGTTACCTGTGCTCATGATGCTGGACCCAAGAATACAACTCTGAACGCTGGGCTTTTGCCAGATAGAAGACAAACTGTGTTTTTTTGTGCTGCGTTTCAAGCGGTCAATACAGCCATCGCTTGTGTTGATTCAGCTGATATATGATATATACACTGGTAACCAGGCAGTCGCGAGCAATGTTGGTTTCCTGCTGGTCCATGGTTATTCCAGTGAGGGTGGATTGCACACAATGATAGAGTCTGATAGAGCCTTGATTATCACTTGCTCCAGGCTCCTATCGAAGAAGCCCACGGGTGCCATTACAATCTCATGGATTAAGGCACATCGCACTTTGGCCTCCGCTACCAATAGCCACGATCTCTGGTTGATTCACCAGAATGCTGCTGCTGTCTGCAGAGGATTCCGATGCCACTGAAAGCTTTTTATGACGATTGGACTACGCGTCTCCAACAGGATGCTGCTTTGAAGATGAAGGTATGCAAAGTTTTTCGGATGGTTATGGATGAGTTTCCGCAATGTCTGTGGTGAGTTTGCATGTA